TTTTGGTTGATTGTAATCTATTACATACCTTTCTATCAAAATTATCTAACATTATCAAGATGAATTTGTTCTGACACAGTTTAACTCTGAGTTCTTGTCATATTTTATTACCATTTTCTAAACTATAACGAATAAACTGTGATAATGTGAGAAATGTTGAAGGTGTCTGAATACATTTTGGTTTGGCTGTATCTATTTGATAAATGAAGTTAACCAACTAACATTATACATACTCTTTTGGTTTCTGTACCCAATATTTAAAAAATGTACAAATGCAATAAAAATATTGGTATCGGTACTCGGTATTGGCAAGTACCAAAAATAAAAGTATCGGTATCGGGCGAGTACTGGAAAAAGTGGTATCGGTGCATCCCTAATTTTTTTCATAACCAAGAGTTACAAATTATGCACACATATCAATGAATCCATTTGTGTAAATAAAATACACAAATAGTATGTAAAAAATAAAAAACTAATGCAATCAGATACAACAGTAATGTCTCAAATAAATTGATAAATTGAACATTGACTTCAAATGGTATGAGAGACTGCTTGCTTTCAACTGATTTCCGATTGAACTGCAGCTCAAACTATTTAAAATATAGTGAATTAAGCTACAAATGTGATCATAAAGCACAATGTTTCCATCTAACATGTATTTTGAGCTGCAGCTAGTCGTATTAACGGAGTGTTTCACTAGTTAGCAGTAAACCGGCAGTGTTGGGGAAAGTTACTTTTAAAAGTAATGCATGTAATCTGATTACGTAACTCATGTTACTTGTAATGAGTTACCCCCAACACTGTAAACCGGTTACCTTCACCTATGTTCGTTTATTAGTGTTGAATGTTATCTTTGGAATGGAAAATTGACAGTGTCGTGTAAACATGGCTGAAGACGCGAAAAGCAGAGGAACAGACGAACCGAATCAGTTGAGTGAGTCATTTACGCTGGAACCGCTCCGATTGATTCAAACTCGTGACTTCGATCATTCAGTTCAAGCGATTCACTAACAAAAAAAACAGATCAAAAGAGCATTTAATTTTCGGATGTCGACATCGCTTGTAATGATTTTAAAAAGCACGTCGTGATGGGTGAAACGAAAATTAAATTCTGAATCAATTATATATCCATTAAAATGGATACAGAATTCAATTATATATTTAAAGAAACATACAAATGTAAGCATTTTGTCCATATCAGCATATAACAAAATCATTTAGTTTTCACATTCACTCAGATAATAATGTTCCTGCTTCTGAAGTAACTGTACACTCTAAAAAATGCTGGGTTAAATATAACCCAGCATTTTTTAGAGTGTACAGTGTAGCGAAACTGGAAAGGAGGCGTTCATCATCTCAAGACGATTCATAAATCACGATAGTCTTTTTAACCCAACAAACTAAATCACGCTTGAGAGAAGATCATTTGAAAAACAACATCACAGATGCTCCGTTTCCTGATAAATTTAACGAATGTCACGGGGCCGGGGGCTTATTTCCCGTCGAGGTTATTGACAGAAAAGCTGTATGGGTTTTTTGGTCGGGTCTAAATGAAAGTGGGTAGAGATTACAGTGTCATGTCGTATTTCACACCGGAGGGTGTTGACGCCGGCGCTCCGAGGCCTTTTAATCAGAGAACAGGAGATAAGCACGAAGATTATGGATGAATGACATTCATCGGCGTGCAAATATCTGACACTGCAAGAAAGGAATTGGGATCAGGACAGGAGGAGGGACGATAATCCCAGCAGCATATCAACAAGATGCCTGAAATGTGCCATTGACGCTTGACACGTGCACAGCTTGCTTCAAACCACAGATTAAAGACAATGATGCATTTAGCTTTTTGTAAGTCATTATTGTGTTAGATGAGTAAAGCACTGAATTGACGTTACAAAAATGCAGCTTTAGAAATAAAAACATGTTACTTCAATATTGCATAAATGATAAGTGTTCTATTAAAGAATATTGAAATATGAAATGATACTCTAAATATGAAACTAAAAGCACAAGTCACTGTCTTAATGAGTGAGTCATTGAATCATTCACGCAACCGTTTCATTTCGAATGGCTGTTTTTTTATTCAGAAACGAAGCAAGAATCTTTATGAATGAATCACTAAATTACTGACTCACTAATGGATTAATTTAGTAATGAATCACTGCTGTGTGTTGTTCGGACCTGCACAACAGTTCTGCTGTATAGCTTTGATTGGAACGATTTTGGTTTGCGAATGAGCAAAACAGATGATATTTGACAGTATTGTGTTTAAAACTGAACACAATATTAACTTCACTGTAAAAAGTGTAAAACGGCAATTGTTACTTTAAATAGCTATTTCTATTTGTTTTAATTTATTAAAATTAGTTTTGCTGGTATAAATTAATGTATTTAGTTGATTCAGTGATGCTAAACAATATATTTGGTTTAAATAATGCACAAATGAATGCATAAAAATTCAAAAATAATTTAATTTCAATTAAAAAAAAATTCCAATCAAATAAAAAAATACATATATATATATATATATATATATATATATATATATTAATAAATAAATATTATTATTATTATTTTTATTTGTTTATTTTTTTCCAAACTTGACAGTCCATGTTATGATGCGCTTTTAAGGACAGCATGAACTTTCAGAAATTCTCCAGAAGTCATAAATTATGACAAAATGTACCCAGCAGACAGAATATACAAACTGAAAAACCCATGATCCAAATACAAGAAAATCACCATATCGTGAATGACATCCACTAGCCAATATTTCAGATGATTACCTGACTCAAACTCACATTTACCTGCAAGAGATGGAGCAGTCGGCCCCCCGCTGCGGTTTCTCCGTCGTCCTCGCAGTCCTGCAGGAAAGAGTTTTTATCCTCACAGTAGATCCTGATGAAAACATGAAGGCATTGTTAAGTAAACGTAAAAAAACAAATCAGAGCTCTTTGCCCTGCGGACCCGCAGGGGCCACTTTTACAAAAACTGCCCATCACGATGGCAGCGTCTTGCTCTAACATTATAAATGTCTTTACTGTCACTTTTGATCAGTTTAGTGCAACGAAAAAGAAATCATACTTCGTCCAAACTTGTGAATGGTTTTATATCTCAAAAATATTCAGCAGCAGAACTGTTTTCAACATAGATAACAATCAGAAATGTTTCTTAAAGGGGTCATATGATGCTTTTTTAAAGATCATCTCTCTCGCTCTCTCTCTCTCTTTCTCTCTCTCTCTCTTTCTCGCTCTCTCGCGCTCTCTCTCTCTCTCTCTTTCTCGCGCTCTCTCTCTCTTTCTCTCTCTTATCGCATCATATGACCCCTTTAAGCAGCCAATCAGCATATTAGAATGATTTCTGAAGAATCATGTGACACTTAAGACTGGAGTAATGATGCTGAAAATTCAGCTTTGAATCACAGGAATAAATTAGATTTTAAAATATATTCACATAGAAAACAGTGATTTTAAATTGTAATAGTATTTCACATTTTAACTTTATTTTGATTAAATAAATACAGCCTTGGTCAACAGAAGAGACCTTAAAAATATTTATACATTTGAAATATTCCAAACATTCCAACATAACAGACATGGTACTTTACCGATCATCTGATCAAAATATTCTGCCCACGGTAATGACCGACAGCAATCAATAAGTAATCATAACTGATCTAAATTCTAATGAAAACACCAGCTTTCTTTCGAGGTTTTGTGTGGCTGTGAGGGTTGAGCCTCCTCATTGGCCAGGGACTTCAGAAACATGCTGAATGTCAATATCACCTGCGGTTTAATCTCAGTCACTCCACCCCTACTGTACTGTACCCTACTGTCACTGATCATGTCCTGAAGAAACCCCGCTGCAGCGCTCGCTTAAACACACACACATGTCCCGCACTGACGTTACAGTCTTCATGTCAATGCATAAACCTAAATGCATCAATAACTGAAATACTGGCTGAAATCTAATAACATACTAAGTAAAAACTTCCCCTAGCAATTGCTGAATGCAGAACAGGGTTATTATAGTCAACTAAAACTAAAAAAGGAAACTTTATTACTTTAAAAAAATGTTAACTGGAATAAAATCAAATATATAAAAACACTTAAACTTATTTTATTTAAGCTGGTTGCAAAGGCAGCATTTCGCATTTTCATTTAGTTGAAGTACTAAAATAAACAAAGTAAAATGATTATTAATAAAAAACAATATAACATTTAAAAAAACAACTAAAAGATACACAACAAAACAGTTAAAACTTTAGCTAAAATTAAAATAAAAGTAGAAAATAAAATCTCATTCAAAATATTAACTAAATTTATAATATCTGTAAATCTGATGTAAACTGAACTGTTGAATTTATCTTGTTTTAAGGATGCTTTTAGTGATAAAAACATCTCAAAATCCTTAGAACATGATGCATTTACTTTTAAGAAATCCCATAAGATATTAATTTTCAGAGAACATATCTTGAATTAAGTTTATTTTTCTTAGTACAGTGGAAATTTTTTTTTTCTTGTTTTAAATGTTTTAAATGTAAACCTCAAACAATTTTGTAAAATGTACACTTTAATACCTTTTCTATCAGTATGCAAATACTACAGTGAGCATTTACTAATGCAACTCAATGGGAGATTACTTTCATTTAAATATCTTAAAAAGTAGCTAGAAAAAAGACGCATGAACTGCAAAATGTACATCTATGGTAGAAATAAAGCAAAATTATGTACAAAGGACTGAATGGAGTCTGTAAATTTGCATAAATTTGTGAAAAGAAAAAAATATATAAATATTACTGTTTGCCTAACAACTGCAAATCTTTATAATGAATTAAAAACTGAAATACCTGTATGCATAGATATTGTGAGTGGCACTTGCGATCTTCTTGTTTTCATATAAATGATTCAGAACCCTTTGAACCTGCAAGTAAATAAATAAATAAATATAAACCAAAACAAGGAAACCTATGTGCATACCAAACCAGATACTGTTCCAACATACCTGCCATCAAAATATAAAAAAAATATGCGAATAACTAAAACTGCTGGAAAGCGGCTGCAAGCAACAGAACATTTCACAGTGATGCAACATGACTGCCAACACATGAACAAGCACACATACACCAGCAAAGGCTTATTTCTCAGTTCAAAGGACTGCAGGCTGGTTTAAAACATCATCTGGAGAACGTATGTGTTAGATGGGTGTGCGCATAACATATTGATGCTAATAAAACACTGTTTCAAAGGACACGAGCAGACTTGAAGCGCAACTTATTACTGCGACGCCGACCAAATCCTGCCACAACAGGTTCGGCCGTAAACAACTCGTGGCTGAATCTGAGCATATGGTACGACTATGAAATATTTATTTAAATACAGCAACCTAAAACTCACAACCTAGAATTATATAGAAATACAAGCCTGTTTCATGCAAGATAAATAATACATTTATTCACATATGGGCACAGCCGAAAGCATTTCAATTTAAATAGTTGGCGCATTTGTTGCAATCAGTAGACAAATGTGTATGCAAGCAACATATGCCCTGCAAGCAAAAAGCTGATTCACTGTTAAAAAAAAGATTTTGTTGCAAAAAAATAAAATAAATGTTTTATGAGAAATTACTATTTTGTAGTTTTTCTACTTCAGAATTCCATGTTTGATTTAATGTGTTACTTATTTTTACTGTGAAATTTACTAGCAATTTGTGAGTGAAAATCTGTTCTACACCAGTAGATGGCATTTGTACTCGACTACTTGATATCCAGCACTATAATTGGTTGGCCTTTTTATTTTAGCCCTGAGGCCCCGCCCACCGTGAACTCTTATTGGTCCACAATCAAGCTACTCATGTATATTAAAAACATGGATGAAGAAAGATTGATTGCAGGAAATGGGAAACATCAATTAGCACATTCGACTATAACTGGACGCCATCTGGAGAAATTTTATTTATAATTTTCTGCCATATCACAGTCAAAGTCTATATTCATGACAGACGCAAGAATAAAATCGTCTTAATAACAATACTTTAATAAATTGTATGCAATAATTTAACAATGTTATGTTTGCAAACAAACAAAATGATAAAAAAAAAGAATTAAATACAAACTTTCAAATTTATGTTTGATAAAAATTCTAATGTTTTCCAGGAGAAACCTTTTTTTAAATTAGTCTATTAATGCACTTTCTGATTAAAACCGTTTCCTAGTATAATTTAAAGCAGGACACTCTAATAAAATGTTTTACAGCCAAGGAAGAGACTTACAAAAATCGCATAAAGGCACATCTTCTCCTTTCAATAAATATACATGCGTAGCTCGTGTGACCAATTCTACATCTCTGTCTGGGGAAGCATCAATTACGATACGCATTTTTAGTTTTATGCGCAAACATTTCTGCTCTGATTGCCTGATTTTGGCCATCCAGCGTGAACCAAAAACTGGAATATTGCTGGGTGTTATTAAGCCAAATCTGGGCTTTGTTTTACAAAATGCTCCCAGATCTAACACTACACCAGACCGTGATTTCAACAGAGAAAGAGAATTATATTTAATTCACCATAAACACTGTATGTCAACAACTTTGCTTAGAAATCGTCAGTGACGGACAGGTTTAGGTGCTTACGAAAGAAGCGGCATATCCCTGATGCAATGCACGAAAAAACACACTCACACAACATTCACAGCGGCTCTGGGTTTTCGTGGATTTACAAGCAATATCTGGCTTTGCTAAAAGAACCAGCTGGGCGAGAGCGACCAATATTGAGTGTAAATCTGTTTTGTACACAACACCAAGGACTTCAAATATTGCTGTAAGACCCTTGGGAAGGACTCTGCCAGTTGTTTCTGTCCATCAAAATGGGTTTCAGCCTATTTGCGCTGAGTGTCCCTCCATTATTTACCAAGAAAGAGAGTCAAAAATAGGTCCAGAGTGCTTGCTCGTACTGCAGAGTTGGACCTTATTGAAGCCAAAGACAAATGCAAGCATCTTCTCGACTGCGATTTCATTCACGAGTTGAGAAAAACAGCAAGCTTGATGCTAATGAATATGTACGGCGGCGCGCTCCCCTAAAGAAAGAGTTGTCACGAAATGGAGCCCCTATCAGTGCGATTCATCTGTTTTCTCTCCAGCTAATACTCTCGTCGTAAACACCTGTGTCAGGCTGAGGCTAATGAGATATCTTTTGAATGTTGTGTGCAAATGTTGCCTTTTTATCAGTGCTGATCTAATGCAAATAGCAGGAAACACAAAGCAACATCCTCTAAATCGTAAAAACCCCGTTGATATTTCCTCGGAGGCTGCTTTGGGTTTTGTGACGGGCTATTGTGAAAACGTCTTTGTGTGGAACGGAAATCTAATTAAATGTTTTGAGATCTATAGCTTGTGAAGATGCTGAACACAAACAGGTGCGTGTTCCCACCAGAGTCTGGCGTCTTGGGTTCGTAGACAAACTCATTTACAAACTTCTGTCAACACTAACCTTTTATGAAAATTAGAGCACGGCCAAACTTTGAAGTTCCTGCTGATAACACAATATCAAAGATCAAAAAGCATCGAAATGGCCTCTGAAATCCCAATAGAACTACAAAGTGACTAAGAGATATGCCTGTGAATGCTTTTCCCCCCCTTCTCATGGCCTTGTTTGTATGGAACAATTCGAAGAGTGCGTCTAATGCACTCAGACAGTCCCTCTCAGCTGTTCGGCTGAACTAAACATATCCATTGATTTTATATCAAGCTTGTCTAGCTAATTTCGGACTGATAAGATTGTTCAGTCTGCTTCAGGGCGTCTGTATAGCACTGCAGGTGCAATGCGCCATAATAACATTGTTGATTGTCAACCAAGAATCCATATGGCTTATATGGGGAAAAAAGCAACACCACAAACTAGAC